GTTTTATTCAAACTTTATAAAATTTTTTCTAGTTTCTATTAACATTAAAAGAAAGTCTGTCAGAATCAAAAGCTACAAACCACAAAATATTATTTTAGGCTGTTACTGATAAAAAAAAATTCAAAAACTATTAAGGATTATGATCAAATAATTGGAATATATTTATTTATTTTTCCACCTATAATGATTTTTTTTATAAAAGTGTATTGAATAGTATGGTTACTGATCTGCTCAATTTATGTACTGCTATGGTTGTTCTCACTAATTTTTGCACATGTAGCCGAAGCCCGTCCTCTTAGCGTTTGGCAACAGTTGGGCCTTGGCCTCCCATATGGCACTGATAGAGTTATTACCAAAATGTAGCGCTCCCCGGCCAACAGAGCACTCTCGTTCTCACCTCTATCGCTTGGTTGCCAGTCTCTCCTGGCTAATTCTCTCATTTGGCGTCTCTTGTGCAACTGTCGATGCTTGATTTTCGCTTGTCTTTATGATCGGCCTGCCGTCTTTGATCTCGACGCCGATGGACCGGACCTCTTTCCGCCCGATCGCGGGTAATGGGCAGGGAAGAAAAATGCAACTTGAGCTCAATTAGTGCTCATCAAAAGCGTGCAGGTAACACCTTCAGTGCGTTGCTTTCGCACACCTCTTCTGCACTCCAGTATCTGAGTATCTCACTATCGCAGTATCTGAGTATCTGAGTTTGTATCTTCGTGTCTCAGTATCTGTGGATCTTTTGGCCCGGCGTCACTTGTTCCTGTTCTGAGTTTGGCTCTAACCGGACCGAGAACGAGAGCCGAGGATCGAGCGAGGTATGCAATTTGCTCGAGGGGTGCCCCATGATGACGGACCACCCGAGTGGAATAGAGTGGTATAGTAATACGAAACACCACGGCTTGGCTTAGGTGTCCATCCCTGAGGGCCAACGACGGTAAGTGAAAGCAAATCAGGCAGTTAACCATTTTTGAGAGCCCGCCACGCAAGTCTCGCTAGTTTTTTTTTTTAGATTTCCCGGGCTCGTATTAATGCTAATGCTTTATGGGCATCGAGCACGCAAACTCATATTTCTCTGCCACTTTTACTACTGGCGAATTATAATTTTTAATAAAAGATTTGAGGCGCAACCGTTAATTAGAGAATTTACGCCGAGCGCCGGCTTGTCAACTTGTTTCGGCTGCTCGCAGGCATTTTTGCAATATTTTATGCATATTTTATGCGACGTTAGAACAGTTTTCGCCCGCAGTCATTTTCCTCGATTTTATTGAGGCAAACGAGTCGACGGGGCTCGCCTTATAGCATTTAATAAACACACATGCGAATACACGAGTATTTTTATGGCATTCGCGCTGTGTTTTAATGTCATTAACGAATTTTGTTGAAAAGCTGTGCAGCTATTAATCATTTGAGATGAATTTTTATTTTACACCTCGCTGGGGTTCTTTTTGTTTGCTTGATTTATGTGTGTAGTCTGAGCCCGCAGCTTGTTGACTTTTGCCAGAGATTTCGGTCTACTGAATGGGATTCCTGGGAAGCGTTTAAATTGAATGAAAAGCAAGTGCGATTGAGCAATTTGCGAGTAGTTGAATCTGAAGTGCCAGGAATTTCAGAAAAGTTATTGATGACGAACAGGTGTTGCACTTTTTGTTTAGGTTTCAGAACACAAATTTAACATCTTGAAAGTGGTAAATAATTTCAGCTATAAAACAATAAATTATCGCCGCACAGTTTGTTATTATCGAAATGGCTGTGTGCTAAATTGTTTATGGACTTCGATGCACGCAGCAGATCCATTTGTTTTATCGCCGGACTAGATTTTTAATACCCGGCGATCTCGAGGCAAATGTTTGAACAGCAATTACTGGGCAAGTGGCCACTAATGCGAAAGATGGAAATCTATCTGGGGTACAGCAGATAATACCAATACGGGTAACGGGCAACAGGCCACCCAGATAGCCAAGGCACGCCATTTAAAATGTCACGTTGTTCGGAGGGTAGAATCTGGCAAAGCTATTACCCCACCCACCGATTGGATATATCCATAGGAGTGTGTATTAAAGCCAGCCGTGGACCGGTTATGGATCGTTTGATTTGACGTGACTGAAAATTGCCTTCTAACAGCTCTGACTGGGATCCATTTGCATGGTAGTTAGCACACGACCCGGCCCACTCGCCGTGCGGATTTCCAATTATAACTATAATTTATGCTCAATCCGCCACTTATTTACATTTTTCGACTTTGCTCCCATTCGAAATTAAGTATACGTCTAGTTGAACTAATTAGCTTTGACTCTTTGGGCACCCCGCCTCTCACCCGACCGCGTTTCATTACTTTTCTCCACCCTCCGCGACCCTTTTGGCCCGCATGTTGTAAAGTGTTTACACTGCTATCTGTCAAATCAACTGTCAACCCGAAGAGCCATCATCATTGTGGCCGCAGTTCGAGTATCTGTGTGAGTTGTTTCGGTGAGTTCGTTCGAGTTCGAGTTTGAGTTTGTATCTGTATCTGTTGGTATCTGTGGTGCGTTTGTGGTTCATGCTCGGCTGGGCCGCAGTCTTCGGCTTCAGCCGCCATTGCCGCCGCCTTTTGTCAAGTGGGAAAAGTTTTAGTAATTAAATTGTAATTAGGGATGCATCCGCCGTTCGGTGCCGCAGTTTGTGCGTTCGCTGTGCGTTCAATAATGCGGCTGTCTGTGCCAATTGTCTTGGCGTTTCATCAAGCCAACATTTCAGCGGCAGCCACGACAACCCGTGCTGATCGCCCCTTTTGCCGGGCGACATAAAGAAAACGCCCCAGTCGACACCCTTTGGTCCATTAAAAGTGCGGGCATGCCCTATATAAGAGGTATAGCAAAATACTGATCAATATTGTAGAACTTCTAGGGAAATGGTATTCATTTATCACTTAATTGAACTGCTACTTATAATGTTAATTCACAGATTTCATTTGAAAAATGGTATCTTAACTAAATCATATTGAAATTCAAAAATATATAAACTTATTTTAAAAATTGTAACCCCCATAAGCTTTTTGCTAAATAGAAATGGTCACATTTAACAAACCATATATACATATGTGCCATCTATTGAATTATGTGTACTTATTGAATTAATAAAGCTGGTGAAAGGGTAACCAATCCTCGGTGACGACATGTCGCACATTCTCCTAATTGACAAGACCTAACGACAGGTCCATTGTTCAAATAGCTGCAACTTTTCAGCCATTTTCATTGTAATTATTTTGTATGTGGCATGTAGGCTGCTCTTGGGCTTATCTAGTGGCAATCGTCATGAGCGGTGAGCAGGCCAAAGTGGAGCTACGATGGTGTTGCAATGGGAGTTGTCGCTGCTCCTAATTACCGGGCGGAAGTGCCTCAGATCTTTCCCTCTTTCAACTGGACGGTTACGGCTTTTGATCAGCCTGGCAAATTGCAGAGTCCGAGGAGGGAAAAGGCTCGAAGATCCCCTTCCCACCGGATGCTGTCTTGGGAAAATACAATTTTCGCAAACTGCGGCGCTTAAGTGCATCTGGGCGATAATCATAATCATCCCGGGCGGCACTCAATGCCAGTAGCAGTTGATCAACCGATCAACCGATCAAATCAGCTGATGCTGATTAGACAGACTGCGGCACTGCGGCTCTGTGGCAATCCGGCAATCCGGAGTGGAGCACGAACCAATTGCCTGTTGTACGTGCGCCGCGTAAATTCAATTTCAGTAGCTGATGAACAAAGCGCAGAGCATGGGTTCGCTGATGGATTGCTTTCAGTTGCACTGGCAGAAAATGGGGAACTAGTGGGGTTGTAAGTTTGAAATATACATCTCTTCTAATCAGAAATGGAACATGGCAACGGGGAAACTCACTACTAAATTAATATGTCAAATTATTAAGGGAAAAGGTTCACAAAATCTTCACAAAAAATTCACAAATCCTTATTACAAGTTTATAGATAAATCTTAGTAGTTTTTGTAACACGAGATAAAATTTACATAAGAGGGGAAATTGGTTGATTTCTAAGATTAAATAACTAGATTTAAAAGAACCTTATGGGTATGCATGCTACATTATACATTGTGATTACGATCAACGTTGAATTTCTTACTACATTTTAAACATGGGAATTTGTTCGAGTGTGGGATGAATCGGTTCGCGTCTGCGACTTAACGAGAAATCAACGCCGCTAAGCAAATTATGCCGAACGATACGCATGCGCCAAAGCCATCACATCAGCCAGAGTTTGAGACTCGGTCTCGGTCTGAGCTGGAGCAGCATCATATCATCGGACTTGGGGCTCCGAGTGGGCATGGGTACGGGTACGGGCATGGGTCTGGGTCTGGTCGGGTCTGGGAAAGGCAATTGCCATCAAAGGCGATGCCGAGCGAGCAGCCAGCCGGCCTGAAATTGATTTAGCCACCTCGGCCGGCCCGACTGACCTCACTACTGTTTTTACGCCTTAAGCAGAATCTCATCAAGACGTAATGACAACAATTGATCAATCGCTGGCCGGGCTAATGGTTATGATGGGTCTCGTTGGGAAATCAGTTTATATTAAAATGTAATTTCATTGCGGTTGTGTGCACAAAGTAAAATGAGAAGTAATGCGTGCTGGCGAGCCAAAAGAGGGTGCTTTAAAATTTATATTCTTATAAGGAAGACGTTGGGTACAAAAATAAACTTATTTTGGTAGGCTGTTCAGAAGACCAGCAAAAAATGTCTTGACCAAATAACATAAATTAGTCAAGCTTTTTGATGCTTGCTACGAACAATTTAAACGCAAATAAAATTTAAACTATCTTTCTTTTGCAAAATTTTGAACTTTTATCTATTTTTTGAATACAGTTATGTGTTTACTTATTTCTTCAATTAAAGTTTTGCCAGTATAATAAGACTTTTATACTTTTTAGAAATAAATTTATATGTTAAAAATATTTTTAAAGGGAAAGAGATTGTGATAACGGGTTTTCTTTTCACTATAGCATAGTTTTATCATCTTTTCAGTACTCACCTTGTTCCTCGTCAAAGTTCTTGGTGGATAGTTGGAAGAGGGCATCCAGAGGGGTGTCCCCATTCGATTTGCCTGCTCCCGTTGGCTGTTCCTCCTGCGCCTTCTTCTGGGTCTCCCCACCACTATCTTGGGTGGTTGGCTTCTCCCGATTTTCCACCCGAGCGGGACTGCAGCAATCGGTGCTGCCATTGCTGCTGCTGGATCTCTGCGAGCGCTCTGAACTGCCGTCCTCGGAGGCGATGATCGCGGGATTCAAGGACATGTGACGGAGGAGGTGGGCCTGGGCGTGGAAGTGCTCCTGCAGCTGGCGCTGGTAGTCCCATGCCAATCGCTGCTCGTAACTGTGCAGTATTGCGGGTGATAGAAAGGGGTGCAGTGCAGCAGGCGGAGGACAGTTCTGCACCACTGGCATCTGCAATCTTTCGTTGATCAGCACCAGAGGAGCAGATACTCCGGGTAAAACAGTGGAAGCAGTACTTCTCTCTGCTTTTTTCTCCTGATCTTCTTCACTGCTCTTTCCCAGGATATCGGCAATGGAAAAGCTTTTGATCCTGACGGGAGATGACTTCTGTCGACCATTTTCCAGGGTTATAGGACTCCTCAAGTGCCGCAAACGCTTTATATTGACGGATTTCATAGGCGGCGGACTGGGCGAACCCACCGAAATCTCGGAATTAGCAGGGCTGGGTGTTCTTTGCGGCATCTTCATTTTGTTTGGACCTCCTTAGTGCATTCTGGCAATATCTCAACTCCTTAGCGAGGCTTTTAAAAACGCGTCGGCAAAAACAAGCGGCTGAACACAAAAAAAAGTGGTCGGCAACACAACACCGCCCGACTGGCGGAATTAGTTTGTTTACTTTACAAGATTTCGAGTTTTAACAGTACTTGAGTAGTAGTAGTAAAACTATTGCGGATTGTTTATCTATTTAGCCGTTAATTGTTGTTCGGCCAGTTTGAGAGTTCCGCACGAGACGAGCAGCTAACTGCGTTCCTGACATTAGACTGAAAAACTGAATCCGAGGCCCTCTCTTTCTCTCACGCTCTTTTTGGCTCTCTGCTTTTTTTGGCCAACTTCTCTCTCGACCGGTTTGGTTTGGGGCCTCCAAACTGGTTGGCTCCCATGACGTCACGGTTTCGCGCATCTGCGCAGCTTGTCTATTTGAAAACGCCGCCTCGCTCTGGCATAGGGGGCGGGGCACTCCGAAGGTGAGAAAGAGAGGTAGAGAACAAGCCAGCGGACCAATGGCGGTTGGCCGAGGGTATTTCAGCCCCCTTTCTCCCCTGAAGTTCGCTGTCAACGTGCGAACGTCATTAATTTGTACAATTTGACATGCGCTCTCTTTGCCTCCCTCTCTCTCACATCCCCTCTCGGGGTTTCTTTTTCTTTCTCTCAGCTTTCCAGGCGGCTGACTGCGTTAATTATCGTAATTGTTGGCTCTCCTGCTTTTTCGCAGCTCTCTTTTGGCCCACTCAATTGTCATCAATAATGATGTCTCGTTGTACCGTTGGCTTCGGCTCCTCATCTATTTTCCGCTGAAAAAGCAAGCCTCTTTGAATCCGTGTTTCGAGACCTCTATTGCACTGGGAAAAATATATAGTTCCAAGATTAAGTTGCTCCCTTTCTTATATTTATTATGAAACTTTATGATTTCATGGAACTTTAGAACAGGAAAATCTATACATTTCTGCAAACTTTAGTTCCAGGTATTGAACAATGTTTGAAAAGAAATCTACAAACCAAAATTACTATAAAACTCACTGTTTTCAAAATTATACACATACAGTTTGCTCGTGATATGAATGAAGGAGTGAAAGTTCCACTTTATTAATTAAAGAACTACTATTGCAATTAATATTTCATTGGGGATCATTAAAATGTACATATTTAATGTTTATGTTATTAAAGCTAATATACCATCTATGATTATTTTTAAAGCATTAATAACTTTTAATAAATTCTACTTAATTAAAGTTTGTTTTCTCAAAGTGCATAGTCTTGGCACACATTCGTTTGTTTTGCCATTTCCACAGCCGTCTCCCACTCCCCAATCAACTCAGTGCATTTCCAAATTGATTGCAACTTTGGTCCGCTTGTTGTATCACGTATGCGCCCTGTATGCGCCGCGCTTCGTTTGTTTGTCAGTGTCAGTTTTTATTCAATTTCGCTCCGCTGTTTGTCCTGGTTTTCTTTTTATTTCTTGCTTTTTCTTGCATTTTGCATGCAAATGTCTATTTAACTGCATTGCGCCCTTTGCCGGTGGGAATGTGACTGGAGAGTCGGCTAAGTGAAATGATGTAACTGCAGAGTCGTAATCGATAATAGCTTCGCACTCGCCTCACCCTTCCAAATCAGGGTATAATTGATTGTTTTAAAACGGCTAAGTAAATACGAAGGAAAGTAACGATTTAAGCATTGCAATTCTTTTTATTATTTTATAAATAAGTGTTTGTGCAGAGCGTTGATCAAGTTAACATAATGAGATTCAATATATAATATTACGTGACCCTTTTTAAAAAACCAATTTATTTTGGTACATGTTCCGAAAGTATAATATTACCACCTATTAAAAAGTTATTACCCGAAAGAAAATATATTCTTAGCCTTATGTTCGACCAGTCTCGTAGGAGGTTCCTTTGACCCCTATTAATTCCCTTTTTTATGGCGCTGCTGCAATGGTTGTCGGCATTTGCATAAGACCCTGCCCCAAACCCTCGCATTCCCCCTTTTTGGTTGCAAGATGGCCGCGATATATGATTAATGCCTGCACTTGACTGACTTGACGGACCGGAGTTTCTCGGTTCTGCTGCGCGCCTTTCGCTTGGGCCTGTAAATTGGAAATCGGCCTGCCTTGTGAACATTCGCTATCGCTTTCGTATTCAAAATCAATTATAAAACGACTCTTAATTGGGCGCCTCAATAGGCGCGACACGCCCTGTCAATCACAATTAGCCATCGCCCCTAGGAAACCACTCGAACGAACCGCCACTCAAATTCACAGCCCCTCAAACGATCCGACACGCCTCTAATTCTGCAAATTCATAAGCCAAATGTATCGGCTCTATATCCTTTCATTAGGCGGCCCAAGATGGCGGGCCCCTGTTCATTAAAACCTCATAAATAGCCAAAGTGTTTGTTGTCGCATCTGGCAAGCCCAAATCCCCGGAGAGGGCACATCACCACGGTCCTCGAGTGAATTTCGTATTTCGTGTTTTGTATTTTGTGTACATTGTCGTTGTTGTCATTGCCAGGGGCGCAGATGGATGGGGGTGATCAGGGACAGGAGTCGGGGGTCGGGAGTCAGGAGTTGGTAATAAAGTCATTGCCGTTGTGTCAAATTCGTCACGCCCCTTCGGCGGATGCGAGAGTGGCTGCCGGCAATGCATTAATGTCGCCCTTTGTTTTGCCGATCCTCACCAACGTTCATCCGAGTTCCTCTGGCTGATGATGATGAAGTTGTGCCAGCCAGTCAGGCAGTTGTCAACAATCAACGCTCCCAAAAACCGAGCGAACCCATGCGAACTGCATGCCAATTATAGGCAGCTCGGAGCTATCCTCAACTTCAACCTCAACCTTTCAGCTGCGCCCGACAGAAATCTGTGACGAATGCGCTTATGGCCAAAGCGATCCTCGCCTTATCATCGGTTAATCTTCGACACTTGGGACAGCTGTCAGCGTTTTGCCAACTCATTATGCAGATTTCGACCACAAATGCGACACGAAAATGTCGAAAACAATTTACTGAACGCGACGAACAGCATTTGTCAATGCGAATCGGATCCGTCTATTAAGACCAGCACCGGAGATCGCTCAACTTAAGTAGTCCGGCGAAGCCGCAAGACCACAGAGCTAAAAAACTTATGTTAAAGGGATATTGAATTATGATTTATTATTTTGAATGAGATTTAAAATGATTTATGGGAAATAAAAGAAAACTAGTGAAATTGAAGGTAATATTAATAGGCTATTAATATTGATCGATGGTAATAACCAAATCAGTAATTAAATTTAAATGGCTTGTGAGCTAGTTGACTAAAGGGTTATCAAAAATTAATGTATCAGATAACATAAAGAACTTTTAAACAGCTTACAAATATTGTAATATTTCTAAGGTTTGAGGTACAAAAATTCTAACAGATTTAATAAGTATATTATGGTATAACTTTTCTGTGCAACATTTTAATTGTTGTATATTTTTTCTCGGTGGAGCTGCAATGGAACTTAGCACGAAATGACACCAACCGACAACCGACTTTCGAGCTACCGCATACAAATTATGGTCTCGAATGAAATACCCCAGCGTTTATCCACAAGATACACACAAAAGTGCCGCGCCCTGCGGCAAGATACAGAATGGTCCTCGGCCGAAGTTTCGGGGCAGTGGCAATTTGTATATCTTTGTGATAAATCAAAACATTATCAATAATAAAATCGGTAGCCGTTTGCCACTTGGAAGCGTTTGGGGCGAAATTTGTCGGCTTTTTGTTGTGGTCAGAGAACCGAAAGCCGAAAACCTAAACCGAAAAAAAAAACCCGAATACCGAAGAGCATTTTTGAGTGCTAGTGCTCGTGTGTAATTTGTATGCTAATTCAGCATCGGGTTGAATGTCTGATGAAGCTTAATGTCAGCCAAAGGTGGATCGGAGCAAAAAAGGGGCTAAGATGATGTGGAGGGGGGATTGGACTAAAGTGACATCCATTAACACTTCCCCCGGGTTTGTAGGAGCTGTGAATCTTTTGATTTACCAAATTTCTGTCCGCCGCCTTATCGCCGAGGTAGCGGTAAAGTGGTAAAGTTGCGGAGCTTGGCGTCAACTCATTGCCAGTAAACGAACTAAGTGGGCCCACTAGCATCAACCTCTGTCCGCGAACGTGTCCGGCAAATTCCGTCTCCGTTGGACGGACACCAACGAATCTGCCGCTGGAGGCGCCTTCGTGTGTGTTCCCTGTGAGTTAAGCTAAGTGGCCGACTGAATTGGCTTTCGGGTCGGGAGATCCCTGATGGGAATGTGATTGGATATGGCTGGCCGGCTCGTCTGATCTTATCGTGATATAAATTAGCCGCTACCAGATTAAGCGGAGTACCCAATATGGACCTAATGCATCTTTGAGATTCGAAGGGAAAAATCAAATCAAATTAGGTTACATTTTAGATTTAAATATTTTCGAATTATACAATAAAAGTACTCATTAGAACAATAGCAGCAATTTGTATAAGTTTAAAATTTATATTTTAAAAAGTGCTTCTAAAATAAAATGGCAAAGAACTAAAATCATGGGCACTTTATAACCAGTTAATTTAGATTAGTCATTAGTAAATTTTTTACAGTCTTTTAGGAATTTTTAGTAACATCTATTTTTTGGTGGCTAAAAAGGAGGGCCAGGGAACAAGATGCTTATATAAATTAGTGGTAATTGTGTTGCGGTAAATTCAGCCAACATGATTTACTTCCTATTGAAACCTTTCAAGCTGAGAACAAAGTAAACAGCCTTTCATCTTGTTTAGGGCAAATGGTAATGTTGCTCTTCACAATTTACAACTTCATTAACGCTTTGTGGGATCGCAACGAATCATAAAATTTCATTCATGAATCGGGAAACATTGTGGGTATATTGTTGTGGGTTTTTCCCCCTATATGTTTCGGATTCTTCGATCAAAATGTGCCGCATCACGATCAAGATGCCGGGATGAATGAATCAGAAACTGAAACAGAAATCAGAAATCAGAAACTCAGAAACTGGGAAACGCAGAAAGCAGAAACAAATTGCTATCAGTTGGTTGGTACTCGGTTGGTCTCCCCTTTTGTGCTGCATCATTTCCATGCCCCATGCGGCATTATCCTGTGGCCCAAAACGTGGCCAAGTCGCCGGCCCGAGGTGTCGGCTGTAAGCTAATTGGAAGCGTGTTCAAAGGTGCCGCCAACAAATTAAGTATGAGTTACCAATTTAGCTTTTATATCTCTATCGCACACGCACACATAGCCAACGAGCGGCACATAGATACACACCGATACTCGTGCACTTGGCAGGAAGAGAGATGCGGATGTTGGCCAGGTCGGAACGGCCTCTTCGAGTTGCAGCCTCTTGGGGGTTCCTCGATCTCTTTCTCTTCGGGCCTCTCCCAACCGGTTTTGGGCCCGCTCTCACAACTTAGTTGTAATTGCAGTCCTTTGATTGCATTTGTGTGCCGAGCTGAATTGTTTACATTTATCATAATCAGCACTCGAGTCGTTTGTAACCGCCGCGAGGGTAACTTTTCATCTTTTGGCAACGCGGCGCCAGTTAAACTGGAACTCAGACTTCCACTTCGACTGCGTCTTCGACTTCGACTCCGACTCCGACTCCGAGATGCAGATGCATCTGCATCCCAGACTGGCACTTGATGTAGGTCGCTCGTCGTGTATCTGAGAGCCGGCACTTGATCACCTGACAGGGGAAACGTTGAGTAATTGCTGACAATATGGCTGAGCAGGGAAGGCGACGCGTTTAGTCAAGGATCGGACAGCCGAAAACGGGGACGCGGTCCCTAAAAACCCGAAGCTTATAAAGTTTGGGTACCTGCTTTAACGTTTTTATTAGTTACGTTTTAAAATATAATCAGGAAGATTAGAACATACGTTAGACATAAAAATATTTCAATAAAGAAAAAGGTGATAAACAATAGTTTTTCTAGACATAGAATACATTTTAATAAATTAATTCATTTAATTAAATGAAATCCAGTTAAAATAATCAGAAATCCAAAAGGCTTATAAAAATGTAAACATATGAATAAAATGCAAAGAAAAATTATTTAAAAATTTAAAAAACAGGAACGAATTATTTTAAATGATGGTAATGATTATTAATAAATTTTCTGAAAGGTCTTATTACAAATTAAATACTAAATAAGTAATCCCAATATTTCCTTTTCCCATCGAATCAGCTCGGACTTTCATTGATATTATGGGTTACCCCCAGTTCTACTATTATTTCTATTAGTTAGCCAACGGTTTCCCAACTTTCTGAGCACGGCAATCATGAAAACTGCTGTTTACTCGCATCTGGGCTCATTAAACCGGGCTGAAAGGCTCATGAGGCACTTCCACTCTCTGTGCGGTCGGTTCATTAGTCATTTTTAGTTGATTCGATTAATGGGCTTAGACATTTACGCATTTCTGTTTGTTTTCACGGAAGTGCTCGGAGATTTTCCCATAATTAGAGTCCGGCACAGTTTAGCTCGATTTGTCCGGCAAATTTTCTCAGCCAATAAAACAAATGCCACCGGTAATGGCCCCTGTAATTTGTACTACAACTCAATTTCAATTAAATGCCTGCCGGCGATACTTTCGCCGGCCACTTTCGAAGCGCATTAATAACGCACAAGACCCGGTAATCAGGAGATTTCGGTGGCTCTAAAAGTTTTTTTTATCGCATCGCATGCGTTGCATTGTCACACGTTTGGAAATGAAAATAAATTGCTTTCGGCCGGGTTTCGGATATGGAGCATCGATCTGCATCTCATCCAAATGCACGAGGCTTTTCCCATCTAGTTTACGAACTGTGAGCCACTGGGAGTGGGACCGACCAGTCGATGGACCGACCAGTCGGTCGGATCGGATTGGTATCGGGCATCATTAGCAGCGGAATTGATAGCTTGATTATTCAAATGATTAACAAACGATCGGCTGCTGGCCAAGTTCGATGGGTTCGCTCGAGAGGGTCCAAGCCAAGCCAAAACCAAAACCAAAACCGAGATTGATGGCGCACTTCAGTCGCGGAGAGCTCGCAGGTCATCTGCTCGGCTTCTTGGGGTTTCCGACTCTCATCTTCTCGGTTTTGGAGTTGAAAAATGTGTGCGCCGCTGGCGATGATGGGCCACCTTTGAACTTAGCCGCAAACGGTAGCCAGAGAGCAGGCGGCTTCCAGTTGGAAATTTATGAAAATGATCGCTTCGAAAATTAATAAATATCGAAATAATTTCGAGTGAGTTTCGTATGCAAATTGGCGGCGTGCACAAATCTGCAGAGCGAGTCACATCACATCACCGCTCGGCTTTGCACACTTAAAAGTGTTTGTAGCTGGGGCTTTTGGCCAACTCGTTTTCGTTCGTGGCAAGTGATTAAATTAATAATTAATTAGTTTGAATTTATGAATAACGGTTGTAAATAATCATTAATAAAAATTAAAAAAGATTTCTTTTATTTTAGGACTCTGCGCTCGCCACTCGGCGCTTCGGCTTCCACAAAATACGTAGCAACATCATTAAGATCGATCGGGCAGAGGGAGAATATTCAAATTAGAACGGGCTTCCAGATACACAAATTCGAACTCGAATTGAACTCACCGACTGCGGCCAAATGGTAGCTCTCGTTGGAACTCGGCATTGTTTGCTTAAATATGCTTAAATTTATTGACAACAATTTGCGGTCTTTTGTATCTCCCTTTGTTCGCCTGAAATTATTAATTGGAGTGAAACAGATTTCGCTTTTAAACGCTAATTGGTCGGGAATGAAGTCGCAGCTCTTTATGTTAAACTTTGTCAAATCGGGTTGCCTGTAACTTGAATCGAACTCAAATAAGTAATAAAATCTTAATCGTTTTGCTTTCATAATACATTAGAATGCAAAAAAGTTGAAATACTTTGTATACTCAAATGTTTATTAACAAAGTCAAATTATAATCTCAAGTAGCTGATAGACTTTAGTATTTTTTGTCTAATTGTGAATACGATTTGTAGAACTTGTTGGCATTTGCTTGGATTGAAATTACAATATTGATTCAAATCAAAATGAAAATATCTTCTACTAATTGCAAATCGGAAACAATAAAGTAAAGTAAAATACTGCAATAAGAAAATTATATCATCTCTTTGTGGATCTGTTTGGTGGCTCTTAAAAGAGCCGATGTGCGTTGGTTCTAATCGATGAGATCCTGTCTGTAAAGCAGAATCCTTGTTATGGCTGGTTCCATTTCCACTTCCGTTTCCGGTTATGATTGTTCTGGCTTGTTTGCTGGCCCACAAAAGGGCCTTGGTCCTGGCTGGTTTCTCTCCATTTGGGCTTGGCATTGAATGTTGCCTTTTCCCTCTGCGTTTTGGCCTCGGAAGCTGTTAAGGATGTCCCGGCACTTCCTTCGGCCGCCGAATGCCTTGGGGAGATCCGCTGGGTGGCGATCAACCTCCCAACTTCCCCGGCACTCGACTCAAAATTAAACAAAATACTCGACTCCTCGTTGCTCACTTTCTGTACCAATCATCAGGTTGCCTTGGCGGTTCGGTGCGCACCTGGCTGCGTCCTCATTTGGGCGGTGCCCCGCCCATCGGAACGGATCCGGGCACCGGAACCACCATTCCGGCGGCGGCTGCTGCGGCGGCCAGACCCACCATGTCCGCCTCGTGCATCGGCTTCTTCTTCAGGATGCTCAGGTCGTTCACGTTCTCCAGGAAGGATTTGTGGGCGGAGAAGACCTTCACGCTGTCGAAGTCCTTCTTCAGCTCCTCGATGTCGCGCTTCTGCTTGGCCCTGCGGTTCTGGAACCAGGTGATCACCTGGGCATTCGAGAGTCCCAGGGAGGCGGCGATCTCATCCCGATCCGCTGGCGAGAGGTACTTCTGGTAGAGGAACCGCTTCTCCAGCTCGAAGATCTGGTGGTTGGTGAAGGCGGTGCGCGACTTGCGCTTCTTCTTCGGCTGCGGTCGGTTCGAGAATATGTCCAAGTGGGATTTGTCTAAAATGGAACAAGAAACAGAAGTGGGTTAGTTATTTATTCTTAAAGAATTTAATTGTAATACTAAAGCAATTATTGGAAGGGGTTTAATGCTTAAACTGTTTCATTTCTTCGCAAACTTTCCACTACCTATCAATACAAATATTACTTAATATGTTGCAAAAATACCCAGCTCACACAATTCATATTAATTAGAGTGGCTAGCTTTGAGGTGAATTCTTAAATGCTTGGCATTTTGAGAACCGGTTACTAACAAGCGACTTCGCCTTTGCTTTTAATTGCCGAGCCGGACTGGCCGCGTGTTAATTTAAGTGCGGTGATTGATACATTTTATGAATGTAATTGCAAGCGCAATCGCAATCGCAGTTGCAGTTCTCGGATCCGAGATCCCAGAGATCGGAGTGCTCGGATCTCGGATCTCGGCTTAAAGTGTATAATTTCGAGTTGATTGATTGCGCGAATTGTGGGCGTTCATTGGCTTTGTGGGTCTAATGACGCCCGCAGATTTCTCAGGCAGCGCGACTTATGCAAGCTGCTCATTTGTCTCGTTTGCGGTGTGATTTATAATAATTATTGACACCTACAAATCAGTTTTAAGTGGTACACGTAGCCATGGCTTGATTAATGAGCCACTGCCCCGTACTTAAGCCGCTGATTGAGCTTGCATAACGTTTCCTGGTGCAAAATCCCAGATGCGGTGCCAATCAAAGCCATCAGAGATCGGTGGTCCGTGATCGGCAATCTGACCACGACCATCAGCATAAATATTTGTTTATTGAATATTATTTGCCAACCGGTTTGGAGCTGGCCGCTGTCCGATGGGCGATGGCTTCACACCCATTCCGATTGCTTGTCAAACAAACTAGATCGACATTAAAAACTAATTAAATGCCCTCCAACCGAATGCAAACGAAGTCCCCGGAGAATGGGTGTGTGGTGTGTGGTGTGGGTATACCCGTTTTAGTATACGGAATGCATAATTTGGTCGTTTGTTATCTCGAGCACGTTTTGTAACCCAAAACCCATTAGGCACTTGACTGCACGCCTCCCTTTCTGCCTTTCTCCGAGCCTTTCTCCCTCTGCTGCGCAGCTATTTTGTATTTGTTTTTATCGGGGCCTCATTAAGTAATTTCCATGACTTATCTCCGGAGAAAGGGAACCGAGTAGGCCACTTGGGTATCCTTTTTCCCTCTCAGGTGTCCACTTACAGCGCATAAATATGGCCCTTAGTTAGGGGGAGTTTTGTTTTGGTCGCATTTGTCAGGGTTACATATCCCGCACATCCAATATGTTTGGGAACGCTTGGGAAACCTGATCGATTTTCGAGGAACCTGCAGAGCAACAGTTGGCCACAGCAACTCTATGTTTTAATTTGGCGCGAGTACTGGGAATTGCAATAAGAAATCACCAGCAGCCGAGGCGACACAGCGTCTGGCATTTGTTGGTTTACGGGGAAAAAGGAAAACCAGTTGATCCACCCACTAAATGAGTTCAAGAGGAAATGCACAACGTTTTGTGAAAACGTGAAAACATCTCAACTGGAGTGCGAGTGATATAAATGGGCCCTTCCATAAATTAAGAACCCCATGTCCTCGCAGCTGCCTATCTGCCCAGAATTCCTCCCATGAACTGATGATAGACAAACGACGCCTCCGGAGTCGAAAATTCGAAAAGATCTGTCGTAAATATTTCGTCTACGGGTTATACAATCCACGATAAACTGTAATATGTGTATTTTGTCAACTCAATACTGGGAGATATGGCATTATACAACGACAGAGTGTCGTCGCTAATCGCTCGTTCAGGGTATTTTAAAACATGTTTACGACTGAAGCTATAGCCACTATATAGTCGGGGCCCGAGTTGGTCGGCCATTAGTTTTGAGTAGCAGCAAATGGAAACGGCATGTTAATTGTTCGCCGACAAAACTCGATTAGGTAATGCACCAGCTAGCTAATTGTTGCTAATCGCTGCAGAATCGACACGACTACACAAATGCAAAGAACTATTAACCATTAATTGCCATGAAACCGCTGTCATTTTGGGGGAGGAGTGCGGGGATTTCTAGAACGCCCACTAAGTTCACTCGAATCAGAATTTGTTTGAACTGAGCGATGGGGAAGGGAACTTGACCTGCCACCTGCAGTCGATGGACTACACTTCCGATTAGTACACATAAATCCAAAGCTAAAGAATCGAACTCAATATTTTATCGTCAACTTGCTCCATTCGCTGCTGTCTGCTACTGGCGCATGCTGCCAATTAATTAAAAGTCCGAAATCGAATCGGTTGGGAAATTTACATAACAAAAGACTTCAAGTTTGGGGGAAGCGGGGAACGAGACCATTTGTTTCAATTAAACGAAATACGAATTTGCTGATTGATAAATGGCAAACATCATAATAAGCTGAATATTCAGCTGCTGCGTTTTCAATTCCCCAATTTCCAAACGATAACAAATTAGAAGCTTTTATTCTAATTAAGAAATCGGGTAAATTCATTTCGGAAATTGAGACATTTATCAATGGCAGCACACTGCGCAAAATCGAATGTTGTGTTTTTCAGAATTTAAACGATAAATCATTGAATTAAGTGTTTTCATTATAATAATTTGGAATACAGGGAGAGTAAACGTAAGCTCATGCACTTAGCTTCTTTTAAATTATGTGCAATACTTCAAAAATATTTATGATTTCACGAAAATGGAAAGTTGATTTCAAGTAATGCTTTAAAACGATCTTTTAATTCTTAATTCAGTCCGCTAATTTAAACTTGTCCTAAAAGACAACAATGAACTAATATCTTCGAATAAAAAAAAATAGCAGAGGGGATATTTGTTCCCTAAATTATTTGACTACTTTCCTGTCTTAAAAACACAGAGGGTTATATCTTTATATACGATGCTTACCTTGAGACTCGTCAAAGTCCTTGGTGGTCATCTGGAAGAGTGCATCCAGAGGCGTTCCATTGGCTTTGGCCTTGGCAACCGCTGCGGCATTGTTGGCCCCACTGGCCGCTCCCCCGCTCCCGCTGCTCCCTGCGACGGGCTGGCGGTAGTGGTGGATCCACTGGTTCCCGCCTGGGCCGACGACTGCGGACTGTGGCTCCGGCGGACACTGGCGGCGGAGGCGGCAGCGGCGGCCGCGGAGTCCCTGGCGATCTCCGGGGAGCAGCAGTCGCTGGCCGCCGAACTGGAGCGATCGGAGCCGCTCTCCGAGGGAATGATGTCCATGCCCATGTGGCGCAGCAGCTGCGCCTGGGCGTTGAAGTGCTCCTGCAGCTGGCGGTGGTAGTCCAGCGCCAACCGCTGCTCGTAGTGCAGCAGGGCGGAGGGGATGAAGGGGCGGACGGGCATGGCGGGACCCAGGAGGTGGTCCCACGGCCGGACAATCTGTCCGCCGGGCAGGAGCATGGCAGCAGCCGCCGCCGGATGGACGTCAAGTGGCTCCGTTCGGGGCTGCAGTAATCCTCCGGAGGAGACCACTGGTCTGGAGGCAGGAGGAGCCAGGAGGTTGGAGTTCGGCGGCGGGGAAACGGACTCATCGCGCTGCTTCTCCGAGTGACCCAGGATGTCCGCGATGGAGAAGCTCTTCACGCCCTCGATGGCCGACTTGGTGGTGTTCGTCTGGGGCTCCGGAACCGCTGCCGGCGGACTGGGCGTGTGCTCACGTGGCTCCGAGGAGGACGAGGACATGCGCAGGCGCTTTAGCGGCTGGAAGTAGTCCTCCGGCAGGTTGCCGACGGCATTCCGGCTGAGTCCAGAGGCTGCTGCGGCAGCTGCTGCGGCTGCCGCGGCCGCTGCTGCGTGGTGCTGCATCAGCAGCTGCTGCTGCTGCAGCAGATCGATGGTGCTGGCTCGCGGATGCTGCAGCGGATGCGAGTGCGTTTGCGGATGCGGATGGTGCTGCGTGGGCAGCGGACTGGGCGCTCCGCCCACGGAGATTTCGGATTCGGCGGGACTGGCCGGACGCATGGTTGGAGGGCAGAGCATTAGGTTTGCTACAACACTTGGGTTTTCCGGGAGCTTCGCTTTTCTGTTTAGGGAGCACTAAACTGTTTTTTTCTGACGGCTTAATCACTGCACTTTCAAGTGGTTACTGACGATCGGGAATGGCTCTTCGTATGAGCAGACCCGTACTGGTATCTTGTTATTTTACTCTGATTAGTTAACACTAATGTATCGACACGACGACGCTGATCCAACGTAGGACCTTTCAACTCGACGCTTCGCAGTCAACTGTTCAGATTCGAAACTAGATTGAAGATTGGTTTGCTAACTAGACACGTCGATATTTCTTCAGTTCTTTTGCTGCCGCTGCTCTCTCGTGACTCACTCGCCCTCTCCCTCTTGCTCTCGCGCTCGCTGTATCGCTTGCTCTCCGAGCGAGAGAGAAAAAACCAGTTCTGCGAGGGAGCGAGATGCCGCTATGCGCTTGCCATCCCTTTCGTTTCAGCTCCCAGCACCAATCGGCTACAGCAACAAAAAATAGCAATGGTGGCGTAAACGTAACGGTAATTATGGCGTTCATCATGCGGCTGGTGTGCGAGAGGGACGGCGTCTGGCGGTGCGAGCGAGACGGAGGCTCCTCAGATTGTAACGAGACTGTATTTAGTATTTTAGTCGCTGCAAAGTTTTCACAACTCCAAGTGCGTCGACTGCGACGCAGGCCGCGGCAGAGGAGTCTAAAAACCGCTCAGCACCTCCCGAAAACCCCCGTCCATACGCCCCGTAACCCCTCACAGTTAGCATTAATGACGATGACCCCCGAAGGCAGCCCGCGTTTAATTGTCAAGCGTTTGCAATTAATTTGCTGTAAGAAAAACGAACAATTAATTTGGAGGAAAACAAAAAAGAGAAAAGTGGAGGAAATAAAAATGCGCATAAATTTGAAGACATTTGGAAATTAATTTGAGCCTGAGAATGGAAACGAGGCCAGTTTCGGTTAAACGACCAGGAATATTCTCTATTTTTAGCCGATATTGGTTAGGAGACACTTTGTTTAATTGAAACTAATTGTTTGCATTTCTTGTTTCACACCCAACTGTTTGTTTGGTGACCCAAAAACGCTATTACTTTTAACACAGTCGTTTGTCGGCATAAAACTGAATATTGTCAGACCCGACGGCTTGTCCTATTGGTGAACAATTTTTTTTTTAACTCTTGATAAAAGATTGGTTACTGAATTGATATCTTTTTTACATTTGCAAATGTTTATCTTAGGTATCAACAGCTTGCTGGTACGTTAAGATTTTTAAAATTTTTAATTCGGATGCCAAAAGCAATTAAAATTACTCGCTTCGAGAATAATTAAAAAAAAAATTAAAAGGTTTTTTTGTTTTTAAATTTTTTTTTTTTTAATAAAAACATCTTATCGCCATATCCCTTATCATGCCTTAGAGGTTAGTACATTTTTTTTAAATAAATGTATCTAATTTTTTTAATTTCAGATGAAAGTTGCAATTGCTTCTAGAAATTCTTATAAATTCTTTATTGACGTTTAAAAAATTGAGCACATTTTTTGGCTCTGAAAAACCAAAGACTTTGATCCCTGCCGACTGACATCGAGCCGCACTTTAATGCCGGCCAATTTGCAATTGTCCACACGTCTTAGCCAACTTGAAGGCAAATGCTGACACCTACAGGCCCAACAAACAACGCCAAATCCTTTTAATTGAAACAAATGTGAATTGCTGCAACAAACAGGCGAGAACAAAGGAGGAAATAGTAGCAGCAAGCGGCAGAACTGCCGGCAGCACAAAGGCGTCAAGGCGTCTGAAGACAAAGGGCCAAAGGTCTATTAACGAAAAATCGAAAATCGAAACCAATTGCCGTCGCAGCAGGATGCTAAACGAGAAAGGAATCGACTTCGACCACCGCAGGCTCAGCGCCCGACTTTAGCCGCAGTGGGTCTTCGGTTTTGGCCTTATCCGGGACCCTTTGCGAAGGGCCCAAAAAACACTACCTGATGCTCCCGGAGAGCGGCTGTTGATAAGGACTAATCACACAAATATTTGAGCATTCGGTTTGTGATTGAGTTTCGCCGCGAGCGGCGCGTTTGATTCCCCGCGTTTAGCGCTTCTGTATTTTTTATAATTCTAATTTCTTCTGTCCATTTCCTCTTTGTTCTCGGCGGCTATTAGTGTATCTATTAGATACACACTCGGTGGCTGCGTGGGAAAAGCCGCCGTGTTAATTATGCCAGGTCCTTGAGTCCATGAATCCTTCGCGGGGAAAGTCAATTTACACCTGTGATCCCCCTCCAAATCGTCAAACTGTGTGTGTGGCTCCATTCACACGCTGATAAACTCCTGCGGTGAAAGTGCAGGGAAAGAGTTCATTAATATTCAAATTTGAATGCAGGGCGACGATTTCATTGATTTATCGGTTTCGGGGCAGCTGCCGGATAATAGTGGGCAAACCAGCCGGGCCAGCTGAATCATTTAATTCTGCCGGAAGCGCCACACATCCTAAATTGATCTAAGATTCACTAGTTATGGAAATAATAATTGGACCTAAGGGTAAAAACTTGCATTAAATAGTCGTTTAACAATTTTATACAACATCAGAAGCCTGTAAATAAAAATTTTCTGTTACTCTTGCTCCTTATAAACTTTGGAATAAAAGTGTAACATTTTGGTTTTGCAATTGTAAAATTTTTATACATACATCACATTTGTACATATATCACATTTGATTTTTCTTTAAAATTGTATTATTCTTAAAGAGAGATATTTATATTTATTTCACTTCCACTTAGAAATCATTTTCATATTAAGAATTACTTGAAATAATGCATAATCATTAAATGAAAGTAAAAATAACTGCTCGTAATTGTTTGAAAATATATCCAAATGCTTTTCTGGAGCAGTGATTTCTCTTAATCAAGATATAATACACTTATTCATATCCTGGCATTCTTTTTCACAAGCTTGGTTTTCCTAAACCGCCAACTTCCATAACAACGGCTTGTCTGTAATTGTCAATTAGCGAGCTTTCAACGGCAGCAACAGCCCGTAGTCACAGCTTCCATAAACAAATTTAATTTTTTTTATTTTGATTTTGCAGTTGCCCTGGGCCTTGAGCAATTTGCATATGCCACGGAGTCACTTTCGGTTCCGATTTCCAGCCAGCGCGACCCACGCAGCATTGACACATGCTGTCGCTGCCACTTGATGTTCATGTTGTGGCTGTGCGGCAGATAAAGACGCCGAGATTGGAATCGACTGGCTGTTGGTAGCATGTCGAAAATTATATTACTACCGATGGCTAGACGATAATTATACATTTAAAACGCCTTTACTTTGTCCGCTCGACTTGGGTGTGTTCGATTGACCCAAAATGATCAAATGGCTTGGGAGTTAGCTATGCTTGATTAGCGATTGTCTTGCCTGCTAAATCGAAACATAATATCAGTTGAACGGGAAACAAATTAAAGTTGATTTTTATTGTTTACATATTTTGGCTGTAATCTTAATGCCGATAATTTGGTTAGCTGAAGCTAAAATATTCAAAATCAAAAAAAAACATCATACTGTTGTTTATTTTAAGTGCTGGTTGTATTTGGTATCCGCTATATATCCCAAAAAATTTTCCCATGGACACCTAGCTTTTTGACAATTTGAGCGGGTAATATTTTTAGCTCAAGTCTTGATTAATCAAGATGTGGTCATTTGTCCATTGTACAGTTTTAATACATTTCCGCCCGAAACTTAAGAATCGAAGAGAAAGTCCTCCGCTTTTGTGTGCCGAAATTAGAAAAACGGCAGAAAAGAAAACTCATCAAAGAGAAAAGTAGTTAGACACAAAAGACACTTGAGCTGGGGCGACCATTAAACATTGCCAATTTCACAGTAATCATCGGCATGGCCAAGAAAGCACTGGCCGAACAAAAGGTGGCCCAGGGGAAAAAGTAGCAGAGCGAAGTAAGCCGTTTAGGGGCCACCCACAAAGCAATGGATCTCCTAAAGAGTTTCGACCCGCAGTCGGAGTTTAGGCCAAGAGAGCTCGCTTTCGGGCCAAGCAGGGCAGCCTCCGTTGGGCACGCTAATTAAGCCGGGATGGCTAAAAGCTAAAAGCCGAAAGCCAAAACCCAGAAAGCAAATGCGAGACAACAAATCAAACGCTCGATGGAAAGCACAAAAACGGAAAACAATGAACAAGCGCATGCTAATTAAAGCGATGCTCAAATTGAAATGTTTAACTTTTTCATCTCGGTTTCTATTTTCGGGGCTGTGCTTTCGTCTCAATCTGCTGCCTTTTCTCTGGATGTGAGGTGCCCAACGATCCGCAGCAGAGCAGTTCGATCCGGGCCAGCAGCTCCCACACTGAAACAAATTTATTAGTTTTAAGTATGAAAATATCCAATGGTGTTAAGTGTTTGCCCGAAATTTATTGCAATCTAATAACTCACATTAACATTGTAAGAACAATTTCAAGTACAGAAATACTAAATAAAATGGATACTCAATTAAAATCGTTTTCAATAAATGGTGCACAAAAACTTTAATAAATTTTTAAAATTTAGCTTTTTGGTTGATGTTCTATTAAGGGACAATTTTTTCAATATTTAATTAGAATTTGCATTAAAATTATTTTATATCCTACGACTGCATGTAAATCTTTTTAGATTTTTCGCATTAAAAATCCAAATACTTTTTTAGATGCCCGTTTTCTGTTCTCACCTGAGCAACGTGCCACACGGCGTATACGCATCGAGCTCCGTTGCTGTGTCAACATTGGACCTCTTGCTGCTCCGCGTCGCTCCTATGCTCCGATGTTGTAAGGGCCTGGGGGGATTCTCGTATTTACATGCGATAGAGAACACTGTTTGGATACTTTTTCGACTGAATGCCGCACACAAATATTTGTGCGTTGGCCCCTTAATTGAGTTAATAGACTTGGACGAGAGTGCGCGTGGCCGGCGTTGATTTTGACCGACGTGTGATAATTACAGCGATGCCCCAGCTGCGGCGGCTTTGATGAGGCTGTCGATGTGTGGACGCTGTGGATGCTACCGACTGGTCCACAAAAGCCAACTAAAACGAAACAAAAAAGTGGCATCAGCGGTGGCGGCCTCTTTGTCTTTGCCTTTGACTTTTGCGTTGGCCGTGTTCAAACAAACGGTTCAGTGGTTCATTTGGACTGCACTTTTTTCGGGGGTCGCTTGTTTAAATATTGAGACTTGTGTTTAACATAATTAATGCGAGTGGAAACTACAGAAGCTC